TTAAGGACATGGAATAGAAGATAAAAAAGCATATCTGTTTTAAAAGGAAAAATTCTGCTGATACATTGTCACTCATTCTAGTAAAGTAAGCCTCCCTGACTTCCTCATCCTTGTTGACCAAACACTCTTCAATATGTCCAGCTTTTTGGTGGATGCTCAGGAATGTCAGTTGTTGATTTGCTCCTGTGCCCTTCCTTTGTTCCCTTCTGAATTTGCAAAACTGCAGAATTTATGCTGCCTTTCAGGCACCGAGGGGAGACTGGTGCCCTGGCTTATCTCAATGGAATGACAAGACTGGCAAGGATACAGACACTTATGCCTTCACAGCATGGGCATTTGCAAAAAAAAAAAAAAAAGAGGGCTTAGTTTGCACTTTCAGCAGAGCTGTCTACAACTACATTTTCAACAGGAAAATAATAATAGCTGCCCCTGATCAAAGTGGTAGAAAAGGTTATGAACAAAAATACCAGTCACTGCTTACTCAGCTGTAGCTGATGACTTCTATGATAAGAGCATCCTTTTCATTGAAAAATAATATTGGTGGACCAAGTCACTTTCAACAATGTCATAAAGTCTTCAACTTTTGCTGGTGTCATTTAAAGATAGTTGCTTACTCGTGTGATGAGAACCTGCTTTTGAAGGGATGTGTGCACATATTTTTGCAAGATCAAAAGACCTTTTTAAAAATGTGGATACCTGTGGCTTTTTAAAAAGAATTATTATTTTATTTATTTGCCTTAAACACAAAGCTACAGAGAAGGAAGGAGAGATCTTTTATCTGCTGGTTCACTTCTCAAATGACTGCAACAGCCAGGGTTGCACCAGACTGAAATCAGAAGCCAGGAACTTCTTCCAGTTGTCCTACAAGGGCCCAAGGACTCGGGCCATCTTCTGCTGTTTTCTCAGACACATTTTCAGGGAGCTGATTTGGAAGTGGAACAGTCAGGAATTGCACTAATGCACAGAAGGGATGCTCACATTGCAGATGGCAACTTTTCAAGCCAAACCATAAAGCCGGCTACTTATAAAGACATTTTGATGGAGATGTGCACTGATAAACATTCTTAGATTGGGGAAGAACTCATAAGTAATATGTTTTTTGGAAATTTGTGGGGGTAAAGTTTCTTGTTGTATTACTTTGGATCATATTGTAGAGTACACACATATATGATTATTCACAAGTAGACTTAGACATCAAAATGTATACTTTAAAAGGATCGGGAATTTTAGATTTCACACAACATCTTCCAAGTGTGGTTGACATGAATAATACAGGAATTTCAGTAAAATTCAAGGACTTGATAATATTAGGAATGTAACATTTGTTCATCCAATTAATATATTTCTGAAATAACTTTGAATAAAACTGGTATTTTAATTGAACCAGAACAACATTTGCAGAATTGAGGATTATATATTATCATATTTAGGCTTTATATATATATATACTTATATTTACACACACACACATATATATATTCTGCTTGAAGCAAACGGACTCTAAAGTTTTTCTTGTATAAACAACATAAGATTTATTTGAAGGTTTAAATGACTGTGATGTTCCATATGTTGCCAGGAATCTGACAGAGGTGCCAGCATCAAGCATATAAGGGAAGGAAACAAGAGCTTTTATATCTAAGCTTAGTTCACTGTATGCTGCAATGCAGAGCTTTGAGAGTTTAGGAAGGTTTTATTGGAAAGCCACAAAAATTAGATAATAAAATTTAAAAAAACTTTAGCCTGTGCCAAACAAATAAATATATAAAGAAATAAAGGTCTTGATGCTGTTTATTCAAAGGAAGTATGAGAAAGAGCCAAGAACTTGTTGTAAAGAGTTATTTATTCATTCAAAAAAGAGTATATAGCCAACTGTGTACCAAAAACTCTTCTTATCAAAGGTAGAAAATGAGATAAGTTGAAGTTATATTAAACTGCAGCAAATGTTTCTTTAGGAGGGAACAACTCTCCATTGGATCAGATTAACTGGCTCAGGTAGGATGCTTGGAAGATCACCTGTTGTTCTTGGAGATGGTGGTGTAGCTTGTTTCAAATCAAATAGAAAACAGCTTGCCTGATGGCATGTTCCCTAAACACCCATTGCTGTGTACCACCTTCCCAGCTGAATCCATAATTTATCTTCCACTCTTGCTGACTTTGTTTCCAAAAGGTGGGATATAATCTGTTAGCTTCTATCCGCATTTACTTTTGGAATAAATACCAGACTTTAGGGCGATGGGGAAATCAGATGGCCTAATAAATAAGACAGGGTTTTATCTTCCCATGAGTTACACTTTCTCGATGTAGTATCAAGATTTTTTTTAAGCCACTAGATTTCCTAATAATATCACTTAAGCTAAAACACGAAAACATGCCACACAGCTAGCTGTGGCCTTTAGGTTTCATGATGCCACAATGATGGATCAGGTTTTTCTGTGATTCATAAGCCTCTGAAATAGGTTTTAGGAATTCCTGCATCACTTTGCTCTTAATTCAACATGGCAGCAAAGAGCACTCCATTGACTCCATTGAGATTCACAGCATAGAATTCATTTGAAAGTGGCCCACTTTTTAAAAATTGTCTTTTCCTATTCTTTCATCATTTGGATATAAAAGAGTTATTCATGGCTTTAGTGAGTTTTTTCTTTATAATTTTATGAAAGTAAAAATAGAGCACAAAAATTTTATATATATTTATTATCGTAAGTGCAAAAATGCAGAATGTTTATATGAATCAGTTTTTATTAGAATTAGTCATTAATGTATAGATCCCAAAGGACTAGAGTCTCATAATATGCTATATTCCCCATGATATCAGATCACTTCCAATTTATACCTTAAAGATTTATTTATTTGAAAAGTAGTATTAAAAAGATAGAGGGAGAGACAGATGGAGAGAGAAATTAGTGTTTTGTCTGCTGATTGAATCCCTAATTGGCTACAATAACGGGTTGGGCTAGGCGGAAGCCAGCAGTCTGAAATTCTATCCATGTCTTCTATGTGGGTGGCAGGGGCACAAGCGCTTGGACTATCTTTGGGTGCCTTCCCAAGTTTTTTACCAGGACTTGAACTGGCACTTATATGGATTGACAGCAACACAGTAGATGGCTTAATACACTGTGCCACAATGCCACACTTCCTATACAAAATGTGTTCCATAAAATGTTAGCATACAATTCATCTGGGTTGTTTAGAAATATGAACGTCCAATCCCCACCACCACCTACTAAATCAGAATCTGTATTTTGACTGTAAACTCCAGGTAATTTGTGTACCTGTTACTTTTGAAGTTACTGGTAGGAAAGCTCCTTATAAATTATATTCACTTGTGATACAAAGGCAGGCTAAACTACAAGCATGAATGACTTGTATAGTCTGAATATATTTGTAAATTATAAAGATGTGAAAAGTATTTGACATCTGTGAGAATCATTGGGAAAGATTCTCTTAAAATTACCTGGGGAAATGCAAACTAATATGTGTGTACAAAATATCCTGTAATGCATAATATTTGAGGAACTTGAATATGGCAAGCAGGGTGCATGTAACATGGGATGATGGTAGACAGAAAACCAGCAAATATTATGGTGACTATCCCATTCATCCAGGACCTCCAAACAATTTAATGATTTTAAGTGATTATTTTAATCAAGATGAAAATCTTTCTCGTGTTTGGCAAAGGGTAATGGTTTGAGAGTGCCATGTTCTTTTATACCTGCCTGTCTACATATTTTTTTCCGTTAAAATGATATACATCATCTGAACAGGGAAGCCTAGAACCCCAATTCCATGGGTTAGAAGCAAGTAAAACAGAATAAGATAATTTAGTATTATATTTCATTATTTTGCCTTTTTCTGATAATTTCTTTACATAATTTCTTTACATCTGTATTATTTACATCTTGTTTAATGCAGGTACTGCTAAGGATAATTCATATCAAATATGCCCACTGGAATATGAGGAATCATGAATAAGCTTATGAAAAATGTTCATTATGTTTTAATTTCATTATCTATAGATTTTTTTCAAGTTTCTGTGGGTTAGATATAGCTCCTTACGTTGATGTACAGGAATGCTTGCCAAACTTAAATATTAAATCACATTACAGAACTTTGAGTTCTGCATGAATTAATTACTTCCTTGGCTTTTTGAAAGCATTATTTTTCTTTTGGCATGTATCATTTGATGTATCTGTTTTAGTTTGGGGAAATTTTCTTCATCTGTAGTTTTCTTCTTGAAAGAGATCTGGAAAGGGGAAATAGAGGTGAGGATTCCTTTGTCACCATGTCCACAATACAAAGGCAATCCCTTGATACTTGACTTTTGTGAAAATGGTTCTAACAAATTGCTGGTATGTCACTTGTGCAAATAACAGCTGTCTTCAAGGTTCAAACTAATGGAAAGAAAAAATAAGATTGACAGATTATGGGCTTTTTCCCCTTTTTCCCATTTCTTCTCTTGCTTGCAAATAGTCCTATCTAGCCAAGGTATGGGGAAGTCTTTTCCTACATCATTCTACTGGTGTCATATTGATTTTCTCTCAAGTACAGCCTGTGGTCTCAGATGATCACGTAGTTTCTTACACGATTCCTATTGATACAGCCCATTGACTCATGGGTTGGCATATATCACTTAGGCTGTGATGGCATTGCCTGGTGAGTAAGGTAGTCCAAACTTATTATGCATGAAATCTACAGAACAGATTGTTTCACCACAAATTTTGTATTCTTTAAAAAGCAATTATTGCCCCTAGTGATATGGGAAATCCACAGCAATGTGGCTTAACCCTTGTAACAATATCTTGAGTCATTTTGCTTCTCTGTTAACAGAGAAAAGGGTTCCTCCTCTGAATATCACAAAATCCCAGTGTTACACTGTCTCTTAAAAAAAAAAAAGCAAAGAAACCTGAAAGAATAGATGGTGGCCTGTTAAACAGCCACAGCTGCTGCTCTTTATTTCCTGCCTTGGTATGCTCCACTCATCCCACTTCCCTCTGTTTCAGCTAGCCGTGAGGTGGTTGGAACACAACTGCCATTACCAGTACCTGGATGAGCTCTTGCAGTACATCCGCTTTGGCCTAATGGATGTGGACACTCTTCATACCGTCGCCCTGTCCCACCCTCTTGTCCAGGCCAGTGAGACGGCCACAGCTCTCGTCAACGAGGCCCTGGAATACCACCAGAGCATCTACGCACAGCCCGTCTGGCAGACCCGCAGGACAAAACCACGATTCCAGTCAGACACGCTGTATATCATCGGCGGCAAAAAGCGTGAGGTCTGTAAAGTCAAGGAACTGCGCTACTTCAACCCCGTTGATCAGGAGAATGCCCTCATTGCCGCCATTGCCAACTGGAGTGAACTGGCGCCCATGCCGGTGGGAAGAAGTCACCATTGTGTGGCAGTCATGGGCGACTTTCTGTTCGTAGCAGGAGGGGAAGTTGAGCACGCCAGCGGCAGGACGTGTGCCGTGAGGACTGCCTGCCGCTTTGATCCCCGCAGTAATTCCTGGGCAGAGATAGCACCCATGAAAAACTGCCGGGAGCATTTTGTGCTGGGTGCTATGGATGAATACCTCTATGCGGTAGGGGGCCGAAATGAACTGCGCCAGGTTCTCCCTACGGTTGAGAGATACTGCCCTAAGAAGAATAAATGGACTTTTGTGCAGTCCTTTGACAGATCCCTGTCGTGTCATGCTGGATATGTGGCTGATGGTCTTCTTTGGATATCAGGTAGAGCATGCCTCCTTCCTACCTTGGTCTCAATAATAATAATAATAAAAAAGGTCAAATGCAAATTGCGGCATAAATTTAAAAGCTCTGATAGTGTGGCCACTTAAAATTGAACGATTAAGCGCAGGGTGCTATTTTAGCTAATTAACATTCATTTATTGAGCATCTACTCTATAGAGAACAATGTAATTGGAAACAATTGACCTTTCTGTGACTTCCTGAATAATGAGTGCTGAAAAAATTCAAGACGGAAGTTAATGATCCATCACACCTGTTTTTCTACCAAACCTTCTATTTGTTTACATCGTTAGTGCCTGATTGTTTGTGATTTATCTAGGGCCTCGAATTTTTCTTTCGCCTTCAACTGCCTATCTAGGAACCATTTCATCAAAGTCGGAAGAAGTAGAAGTCCAGTAAACCCCATTTTCTGGGTGTAACAATGGGTATATATGTCCAGGTCAATAGCTAAATGTGAACTGAGGGAAAGAATATTAGGCACTAAAGCAAAATTTGTGTATTATGTGTGAATGATAAATAATTCTTTCCATTCTAATTATTTATTCTTATTTATACTTCTATTCTGATTATTGGAGAGTACAATGTGAGCTATATTTTAGTTCTCTTTTTTGTCCTTTTTTAAAATTGATTTTGAAAAAAAAGTGTAGAGAGGCTGCTTGTATCAGTTTCATGTAATCACAGCATTGCAGCCTTGCTTCATCCACACTCACATACTCCCCCCATCTCTTATGGCTGTCCTTCTGCTTGCTCAGGAGTCTGTGAGGCCGAGATCATTCTTATCAGCACTTTTCCATCCTGTGTTTTCAGTGCTATCACTGAGATAGACCTGGAATCCTGTGTGTGAAGGGTGTTCCCCAGAGAGGAAAGTTACTTCTTCTCTTGATTGCAGGACACCTATGTTATAACTCACATCGAGCTTGCTGGATTTCTATGTGACTAAGGACAAAGAACAGAAAAATCAAATAACTTAAATATGGAGAGTAAGTTTGCTGTTTTCTTTTTTTGTTTTGTTTTGTTGACTGACTAATCACTTTTAAGGATACTTGCAAAGGTTTTCCTCAATAATATCTGTTTTGAAAAAATTCTTTCATTTAAGCTAATTCATGTGGCCTTGGCCGGTTCTTCCTTCTGCTATATTCCGTAAACAGTCACAGTCTCAGCCTCTCCACGTGAGGCTTCAGTTATTGGCAATTGGTTCATTTTCCTTGACCACATCTAACTCTTTGTTCGGATTTAAATGCTTAATAAACCAGTGGAAGAATTTAAGACGAACACCAAGGAGGGGACTACACGAAGTATGTATGACAATTACTGGTAGCATGTACCAAACAAATGCCTCATAGTATTATGTTAGTATATGAAGACATATATGGGTACTTTGAGTAATTCATAGGATGTAGATTTCAAAACTAAGCTTATTTTGGTGCCTATGATAATTGAAATGCATGCATAACTTTTACATAAATGCATTTTACATTGGCTTTTTGAAACACCTGCATATTCTGACAAAATTACTTTTCTCTAGTGAATTCTATTTTTCTTTAAAATTTATATTTTTTAGAAAATAACTACCAAGAATGTAGCCTCTTAGTGTTGCTGATGAAAATTCAAATGAGGCTGCAAGTAAGTCTTTGCTAATAGAAGGACCAGATCTGTATTTTCTTGGATAACAAAGCCATGATAAATTTATGAAATCAATGCAACTTCTGTTTTCTCCCAATTTGTGTTTCTTCCATTACTCATATGATTTCATATATTATTAATGCACGATATTCCTAAATTTTGCATTGTACTTCCTAAATTTTGTATGAATTTCTTATAAATATTTTAATAAATATACCCTATGTTTTTAGCTAGAAGATTAGCATTTTAAAATTGTTGGAATTTCCTTTACATATTCTTAAAGACATGGCTACTTAATATCTTTAGTGAAGCCCTAAGAATGCACAGAAGCTCTTCTTGGCTGAGCTTAGATCTGTCATCCCGGTTTCAAGCTGACTTCCTTTTCAACATAGATCTCTATGTTTCCTTTTGCACTTTATGAAATGTATCAAACTATTACAGATTTTACTGCTTTCTCACTTTGTTTTTCTCCTACTGTGAAAGGAAATGCATTTTCTTTGTTCTTCCTCTGCACTAATGTATGCTGCCTGTATTAACCATACTTAATGAAAACAATCACAATTTCCTCAGGTTTGATTCTCCCTACTGTGTACTTGAGATGAAAAACTTACTTTCCTGTGTACAGTACAATCCCTTTAATTGGAAAGAAGAGGAGATCGCCAGTGACATTTCCAATACCCTCAGTCATCTGCCTCTTTCCTCAGGCCCAGCTTATAATAAATCAATTGTGAATCTAACCATGAATAAGGGAGAATGTCTAGGTTTACTAAAGGGTCCCCTAAAAACAAGACAGGTGTATTTCACCTTGCTTATCACTGATTTAGGAGTGCTAGCCTGATTTATAAATTTATAAGAAATTTAAGGCAATTTCTTATCCATCACCAAGTAATCAAGTATTTCCTGTTTTTGATGGGGGATTGAGTCATTTGCATTCTTTTGGTGCTCTGCTAGCTTTGCTTGAGGTGGAGAGCGTATAGATTATAGTATGTGGATCTTAGGGGCCAGAACTGTTCTGTAAAACAAGAAATGAATGTGTCTTTGGAGGCTGCTCTGAGGTGCTCACTTCCTGCCCACTGCCACCTCTTTTGCTGTCCAACTTGAAACCGCTCTATAGGTTTCAAGCCCAGCAGCTGTCAGGAAATCAGAAAATGGAGCTATGTGGATATTTCAGTTAGCATTCAGTTAAAGATACATCTTAGGTTTCTCAGGCTGCTGTGGCAGTTGACATTGTGACCCAATTCTCTACATTCCATGCCACTTCAGAATTCACAGTAGCAACATAAAATAAGCACTAAATATCCTGAAGCTGCGTTTTAAAATATATGTTCTATATTGTAATCGATAGTGTGTGAAATACTAAAAAGATTGTTTTTAGTTTTTTTTTTGGTGGGGGTGGGTGGGAATTAATCCTGAGTTCATCTTGCAGAGCAGTATCAGTTCATTTATATAAAATGAAAACAAGATAATGAGAAACTAACCACAAAATTAGTGCTTTAAAGCTACAAAAATAAGACAAACACTATTGCATTTATTCAACAACAGTATTTTGTGCTCTCCTGATTGCCTTGGTAAATGCTGTAGCCTTACAAGGGGTCATGGATAAATAAGATTAATTCAACAAACACACTTCCTACCCTCTAGGAGCTGACACTCAGAGTTTCTCAGATATCGCATTAATGAAAGAACATTTTTGTTAAAGCCTCTTTAACTACCCAGAAGCTATGTTTGTTTTCATCTTGATTAAATTTATATGAAGACTGAATTGCCCCATTTAAAATAATCTTAATTTATTCACCCCTACTGAATGGATTTTGGCTTTTCTAATATTCACTAAAATTAGAACAATGTAAAGTTTCTTTAACAATTTTTTTAACTATCATGCTTTAGCTTTAGTGTATCTGATACCATTTTGCTTGCATCTCAAACATTGGGAACTAACAATATGCATGGCAAAGGCAATGTGGTGAACTAAGATTCCATACTATGCTGTCACACACACACACACCACACACAATCTTGTCAATCATTAGATGCTGAGCCAAGTTCTTGACCTCTACAAGTCCTTTTCTGTGCTACTACTGGAGCAATAGGCCTGAGTAAATTAAAAGGAAGAAACTGTGAAATGGTATGACAACATAGCATGTGATGGTGAGATAAAGAATTTTCCAGAAGTAGTACAGAGCAGGAACCATGTTGTAGAAAATGTGTAACGTTGCACTTCTAGCCTAATTTGGCTACAGGTCCAATGGCTACTTTCTTATTATGCATGAACTGCTCTCTGTCCTTACACTTAAACTTCACAGTCAAATGATTTCAGTAATTCTCTTGCCATGTGGATAATACACAGCATTGAACACACCTAGCATTTCATTTTATCTGTGTTTGATTTTAGAAGCTGAGTCTGTTGCAGGTATTTGGGAAGTTAGAGTGTTTGTCTATCTATTTGTCTCCCTACCTATAACTCTGACTCTGTCTCTCAGATATATAAATTAAAGACGATAATATTTAAAGCATTGTTGCTTTATGGTATAACCACCAGGTCTTCCCAAAAGTTACTTTATATATCATTTACTGCTGTCCCAACCTCACTCTCTCCCAACTGCAGTATTGATCTGAGAGTCTGGATATGGTTTTGCACTTCTTTCAAAACAGCTGAAAGTTTTAACAGAGAGAAAAGAGTCAGATCACCTAGATCTTCCAAAAATAAACAAAGGTTTCATGTTAATCAGACTTATCTGAATCCTTAATATGTGTTACTGTTCTCTCTCACCACTGCTCAGGGAATGAGGTTTAAAGAGGTAAGTGACTCAGACAGCTAATATGGACAAGGTCAGAATTTGAATTCTATGTCTCTGATTTTTCAAACTCTTGTTTTACCACTAACCACATGGATACCATTGTTTGTTACTACAGCAAAATCCTGAGAAGTATATGTTAAATAATATAAGTGCCTGCAATGATATATATTGGAAGTAAATTATTCACAAACTAATGCTACTTGGAAATTTGTTTAGAATCCATAATCCTGTGCTTTCTTTAGTTGTCTAACTTGACGGAGAATTGAGTTTCACAGTATCTTTCTTTCTGTGGTTCCACCACACAGTTTCTAAAACCTAAAAAGCAGCATGAATTGAAAATTTGCAATGAAACAATGATAATATGGAACTACTATAGAATATATTCCTGGAGAACAGAAAATTGAAATTCAGAAGAAATTATTCATGTAAATTATGTTATATGTAGTTAGTGTACAGATTATATTGTATACTATGTGTGCTTATATATTCTATATGTACAGTGCTTTTCAAATTTTATTATTATTATTATCATTTTATGATACAGTTTCATAGACCTAAGAA